CGTACCGAGTTGCAAAAGTTTTGCGATTGTCAAAAACTATAAGAAAAGGCAAGCCAACCGCAAAAAAGAAAGCCGCACAAAAAGTTCCGGGGTCGTGGCAGTGACTCCGGCCCGGAAACTGCCTTTGCATTCATGTAGAAATAAACAAACTAAGCCAAAATAAAATGGAGTAAAATCAAAATAAGGCAAAGCAGCAGAATTAAACCGAAACTGGTTTCTATAAAAGTTTGACATTTGCTGCCAAAAGAAAAGGGGGCGGAGATTGCAAATTAAAACAATGTCTGCAGTGGAGTTCCGGAGATCCGGCAGCAATTTGCGATGTCCGCGCTGATTAAACTACGAAGGGGGAGGGGGGGTGGTTGGGAAAATCTGAAGAGTGGGTCTGGTCGCCGGGTCCCATCTACTTTTCTGCGATTCTCCGCTTTTGCCGTCGTTGCAGTAAATCTTTCATCAGTCCCGCCGCGCTTCATCCTTCGGACCGTTTGCTCCTCCAGGATTTCTCTGGATTTTTCCCACTGCTGGCGGGCCAATTTGTCCTCGTCCTTTGCTCCAGCTTTTTACTTCCATCCACACACTTGTCATACTATTTATGAGTTTATTATTTTTTCGCTACTCTATTATTTAGCCACCCCCTATGATTCCATATCCTTCGCCGGCTGCTTCTACTCTTCATCTGCCGAGCTAAATCCGTTTCCTAGCGCTTAAAACTTTCTCTCATTGCAAGTGCTGCAATTTTTCACAACTTTTTGAACAACATTTTTTTCAACATTCCTCCGACTTCGTGGTCCCCAGACTTCCCCTCATGCGTTTATGGCCATGTTATTTATTTAGTGGCTTTACTCTCACACTCTCTGAGAGGGTATCTTAAATGCTTGCATGCATTTTCCGATTGTATTTTCTAAAGCTTAGTTTAGTTTGCTTGAGCTTACGTCATAGGTTGACTTTCCATCTACCAACTCATTTGAAAAGTACAAAGGTGCTCATTGGTATTATACCATAACTAGTAATCAATCTGCCAATATTAAAGCCTGTCATTAAAACTAACTTTTGAATAGTCGACATCATAGGTTAATTTTGTCTCTCTGTTTCGAGAGTGTAAAACGTAAAATCTCAGGAAATTTAATTGTTTATAACAAAACTACAAAAATATTAACTATGAAATTAAGACATAAATTATTCACTTTAGTTATTTTCTTTAGCAGCAACTTTGAGTTTGCAGTGTAAATTATAAATGCTTAGAATTTACCAAATGCCAACATTGATTCAAAATCTTTTAAAAGGATTTGCAGAGCATTTGTCAACCTGTACTTTAAAAGATGAGTTTTTAATTTTTTCCTGCTGGATATTTTTTTGTTTTAATCTCCTTTTTCACAGTTGCTTAAATTGTTTGTAATTTTTTGTCGGTGGCGGTTGTTTCTGTGTGTTCCGGTTTTATTATGACAGCAGACGACGACGAACTGCCTTGGAGTTTTGCTCCTAGTGTGTTTTTCTTTTTTTTTTTGCTTGTGCTGGCACTTGTGTTGGCTAGATAAATAGTTTTTCGCCCGTTCTCAGCGGGTGGCTTTTAATTACGGCCAAACTGCAACCGCAAATGGAAAATGCCAAAAATTATGAGAAAATTGTTTCGAAATTAGTGCAAAAATAAGAAGAACTTTTGTTTCCATTAAGCTCGTGCAGCTCAAGCATATAACGACTTGAGGATTATTTTATTTTTTCTTTTCCCATATGCCCTTGCAAATGACAAATCCCTGCACGAAATGAATTTTTAATGGTGAACTGGAACTTTCGATGTCGATTTGTTTTTGCTGGGCCAAAGTTAAACGTATCGGTAATGGTGCAGCAAATTCTGTTATTTATCATGCATGTTGCATGCAATCGAAACATCGAAAAGCACACCGAGTACCCAAGAAAATCTCTAACTAAATTCAAGTTTGCAAGCACTTCGGGCGATCCACCCTTCCTACAATTTTCGAGAAGGGGTGAAGTTTGTGCAACTTCAGAAAAACGCCCAAAGACACTGGCGAGATTTGCACTCCAGAACTTACCACTCATATGCATAAAATGTGCAACAGACGGCAGCCAAGTGGCAAGGCACTTATTTTATTGACACGCAGACAAATGCCCAGGAGAGGCAGTGCTACAAACGCCAGTTCTACTTCGACACCTTAAAACTCTCGTTTCCCAAGTTTATATTTTTCACAAGCTCCTTTTTCACCTCGTCTCGGTTGATTTGCATACCCAAGTGTCCCTCAAAAGAACGAAAATAAACGATAAATGGTTCAAAAGGTTCTTATCAGTGCACACGAACATTTTTATTCGCATTGTTCGGCAATTGAAGAACTCCTCATCTCTTGTCAGGGATAGCAATTTTGAATTAATTTTGTTTTGATTCCTCCCCCTTTCCCGCCTGTGATTTCTTATCTTCCCCTCGGCCCTGGGCCACCGAAATGTTCATAATATTTTTCATATTTCATTGGAAAATGAAATTCCTGGCATATTTTTTGGCCCAACAAGCAGGCCATGGACCGCAACAGCAGCAGCAACAGAAGGAGCAGCCGGCGCAGCCTGGAGTCCGAGGACGAGACCCAAAATCGGACCCAAATAGACAACAACAGCTGCCTTGGGTCTGCTGTCAGTCGTCCTCCTGGAAAACGCCATTTCCATCTCTGGGCTTTCACTTCCATTTTTGGCAAGACAAGCGTTTGTGTTATTGAACAATCACCGGAAAAATCTCGAATTTAAGAAGGCAGCAAATAGAAAAGAAAGATAACCTTGTATGTCCAAGTGGTAAATACAACCAAAGCATCTCATTTTAAAGTTTTGCTACATCCAATGTACGCCAAAATACTTATCTGTGTATTTCTAAGCACTGCCGTAAACGAATATTTTGCAAAATATTTAATAATTTCTTTATTATTTAAAAGATAAAGATGCTTAAAACCGAATGTATATTAATAGACAACTTTAATGGTAATTTGTACGAGCGATTGGCACCAAAACAAACTAAAGCAAATAATTTGGTTTTCTAATTGTTTTGGAGAAATTTTGTTACCATTAAAATTTTTGACAATTGAAAAACACATCTTTTTTTACTTAATAATAATAATATAATCAATCTGTAATCCTTTATCCTTTTACTTTTTCTCGTGTGATGACCCACTTTTTATTATTTTAAATCAATTTAAAAACTTTTACTTTTTTTCGTGTGGTATCCCACCTTTACTTTAGTTTTCTTTATCGTTTTTAAATAAATGTATAACCTTTTATCCTTTTACTTTTTCTCGTGTGGTGACCAACTTTTACTGTAGTATTGTTTACATTTTTTGTCGCTTACCCTACCCAAATTGAGAATATCCTAATGGTAAGATCGCTGAACTGATAGCTATACGATCTTTGTGCTGGCAATCTTTAACCTTTTGCCTGAGTTCTTATCTCCCACTTCGAAAGGCAACTTATCAGCGCTGTCTTTGCGCCGCGTTCCTGTTATCTCTGCTCTTCTTGCAATCAATCAACTACAATCGCATGAAGGGCAACTGGGACTCCGGTCCTCCGATGGATTGGCCTCTCTTTATGGTTTGGCTGTTGATTTTACTACAAAATAAATACGCACAGCGGGAGGACAGTGGGGTGGCAGAGACATGCATTGCTGGAATAAATAATATAAAGTCCAAACTGATAAGCAAAACATCAGCGGGAGCAGCATCAACAGCGGCGAACTAAAGTTGACGGTATGAAATCGAAATATTTTCAAAACAGAAAGGGGAATTCACATGAAGGCCAGAACGAATTGATTATACCCTGCTAGGAATTCGGATTAATTTGAGGATTCTTTAATATTAACTTTATCAATATGGAGCTGGCATTTTTTGGGTGAGGGTATACATAGAACACAGACCCCCACTATGCCTGCAAATCCTTTGAAATATGGCATGACCAAAGGCATTTATGTGGGAGACAAGCCAGCGGGAGCCTTTTCGGCCAGTCCAGCTCCGATAACACGAGCTGACAGCCATTAGGAATGGACTGCAGCGGTGACTTTGATTGTGCTGGCATGCGTGTGATATACGCGCGACGATTTCATTCATGCCCCGGCCTCGAACTCAGCCTCGACTCCCGTCTGCATATGCCCATTTCCATTCATTCACCACGCATTTTGAAAACCGAGAAGATGTTCAACGAAAAAAGACACAGCAAGCTTCAATCGTTATCTGTTAGAAGGCCTGACATTACACACTCTGAGCAAAAAAGGGCACTGAAATTTTACTTTTTAAAATTGTTTTATAAAAGTTTATTTTATTATTCAAATTGCTGTTTACTATAATTTCTGTGTTCTCTAAATATAATATTGAACTTAAATTTGAAAAGTGTGGTTAGAAGTTCAGTGCAATTAGATTGTTACATTAAATTTTTGTGTTCAAGAGACTTGACATTGAAGATATGTATTTTGCACTTTAAAATTAATTAAATCTTATATATTTGCAACAAGAAATAAATTTTTAAGAACCATTTTATTTTGAGTTAAAATTGTTGTGTATCTAACTGCTTGTGTATCTAACTTTTTTACCATCAATTTTTTAAGAAATAAGAAATATATAAAGAATACTGTTTTTCTTTTTTTTTTTTTGCAACCTAAAGTCATTTGTTGTTTTTATATTTTTTGCTCATTCGGAATTATTAACATGTTTATTGGCTTTAGTCACTCGCCAATTAGGGAGTGTTTTTTTTTTTAAAGTTAAGGTTCACTGGTCCATAATCAAAAATATTATGTTTACTTTAGTTAGCGAAAAAACACACTATAAAGCTGAATCCTTCTTTAAATGTAGGGCGAGTCACCAGCCAAAGAGCCACATTTTTTCTGAGTGCATCGCAGGCTTACAGGGTGTGTGTCCCAGTGGCTGTGTGGGTTGTCGATAGTCGGCTCTGCCCGAGAGCCTGCGAATGAACGAGTGGAAACCGAGCGGAGGCATCAGCAGCAGCAGCATCAGCAGAATCCATCGCCTCATTCGTGTTTGCCGCTTCGTGGGCAACGGACGCTTCCTCAGAACTCAAGTGGAGTGACGAGCACGAGAACGGAACCGGAAACGAAACGAAACGAAAGCGAGAGAAAGCACAAGCCTGTTGAGGGTTTGGCGGCGCGTTCGAACCGGAAGTAAGGATAAATTCACTGTTTTCTGACTCGGCTGGCACTTGTACGCCATCCTGTTGCGCCGTCGCATTATCTTTGCCCGTTTCTGAGTGTGTGTGAGTGAGTTAGTTGCCCTTCTGCAAGTTTGTGCCTAACGTACCGGAAATGAGCCTACAGCTCACTAATGTGTGCTGTTTTTTTCACGACAAAAGTGCACTGAAATGCAGAAAATTCAAATGGGGGAAAATGCGATTACGTTGCTGAGCCCAAATGTAGCGGAAAATGTGAAAAAGACGTGGAAACTTCCCGAAAATAACCTCAAACTGTGAAAACTCGTGCGTTGAAATCGTTTGTTAACATCGCATACGTGTTAAATACGTGTTGAAATCGGAATCAGTGTCGGGCCCAGATAAGTTTGGGTCAAGAGTTCAATACAAAACAAGAGGGAATAGTCGCAGTTTTTTAATCAATGTCGGGTTTTAAAAATAAAGTGTGTAGAGTGATAAGCAGCAGAGAGAAATCTCTCGATTCCAGAATGTTTTTCCAAGTCCTCTTGTTAAATCTGAGACAGTGAAACTATAAGCTGACTTACAGAACGTGTTATCAAGTATATAACAGAATAAACCACAACCATTAAAAAAATGATTTTGTGACTGAAGTTTTTCAAATCATTCATTGCATTTCATCTATTTTGCGAGATAATGAAATTAATACAACAACATCTCACGAGAGAATAATCTGGGCAAAAAAACTGATCAACAAAAATGACAGAAACGTGCGAATGCTTATTGCTGATAATTGTAAATTGATAAGCGATCGCAGAATGAATCGAGCTACAAATTTGTACTTAGTGTGTCCGCTTCCGCAGCTAAGTGAAAATGAGATCACCTTTATTTAAATAAATTTATGAAATATAATATAAATATGCTTAGTTTTGTGGGTAGCTAATAATACTGTTCATATGGGGGACAGAAAAAGGTTTACCTACTCCTATAAACAAAGTTTATTGTTACAAAATAGTATATTCTCTATTATCTAAAAATATGTAATTTGGATTTGGTATCTTTAAATGACGAATTGTTAGGACAAAACAACCCGCCTTCTTTTTTTTTTGAAAACGGACTTACAAAATGACAGCTTTTTCAAAAAGAAAACATGTTTTGATGTTTTCTTTTTATTTAAAGTTCTGATAGCTTAAGTTGATGAATGCATTAACTTATTACCTAATACCATACCTTAACACCATACTTTTATTTATACGATAAAGAAAGCTATCTTTGGCATTCCAGATTCCAAAAATATATCGGGGAATATATTTTTTACAGCAATTTATTAATATCGCAGCAATTACAATTTTTAATGAAATTGAAATAATCTTTTGAAAGTCTTATAAGCCGTCGTTTAATTTTTATAATAGGAATAGTTATGATTATATATCTCGCTCTTGGGTCTTAGCCCTCTGGGTTAAGTTTTCCCTAGACCTTTTTAATTCTACGTCAAGTGCAGAAAAAAGACTTCACAGAATTGTCTCTTCTAAACGCAATCCATGGGAAACTCCATAGCCTTTGTCGCATTTGTTGTTTTCCGCTGCTTCGCAACTGAATCCCACGCATGAAACACGAAACACTCGCAAGTGACAGATTCAGAATGCAGGGCAAAGGATTACCGCATTTCCATCGCACTCCCATGTCGTCATGCCTGTCAGCAGCTCACAGTCGGCATTAGTGAGAGCCCACTGTGCGGCTTTCCTTTAATTTCCTCATGCGATCTGTCCACTTGTTGGTCACCACTTAGCCCCGAGTCAGCCCAAAAATGTCGCTCCAACAGTTGACATCAATCTGCCTCCGCAAAGGTGTGAAAAAGGAGCCACTCCTGCATATGTCTTGGCCCTAAACATGATAAACCACCAGGATTAAGAGACGAAAATAAACGAGTTGGAAGAAGGAGCAACTCTGTCAAATGAAGAGCAGAAACTAGCTAGATATATGAGTGAAAATACTTATTTAGGGCTTCATTATGACCCGCATAAATCCCATCTGTGCTTATGTTGGCCCGCCCCAGGCCAGACACCCCCTAAATGGCTCAAATGTTTGAAGACCTCGAGAGCAACACGTGCATTCTGCTTTCAATTAGAGACCATATAAGAAGGAAGGCCGAGGAAAACGTTAAAAAGGAGCTTAAGCAGATGGCTGCTGGGAAACTAGTTCCCTTTTCGGTTTCCTCCTCGCGCCACTTCGCCATAATTTTTTTTAATTACAAAGCCATAAAAATTAAACGAACCAAAAGTGCGGCTGCGATGACTGCAACTAAGAACTAAGTAGCCTAACGACAGGAGCCACAGGCAGCAACAGGAACAACATCGGCAAACAGGGATAAAAAGGCAGCTGGAGAAACGAGTGGAGAAACGGCAACGATTTAAGCCACATAAAACCAACAAACAGACAAACTGCCAGTTGGAGGAGAGGCCAAAGGGGTTTCTGGTGCAGCCATCCTGCGGAGGAGTACTATTTACAGCCAACTGCTTGGCAACACCTTCAGCCAATGGTCGGGAATGAGGAACGCCTGCAGTTGACTACAAGTCACTGAAATGGCATGGGGATATTTTTTGTTCAACGTTTAAACCAAATTTGCATAATAGTTCTTCTTTCCGTTCACTGCAAATGTGCGGAGGAGCAACTGGCATCAAAATCTAAGTGAGCATTTCCAAATTATGCAAATGTTTGCGAACTGAAACCGAGCGACACTCGCTTAAAGAGCTGCATCAGCCGTACAACGGTGCGTATGCGTATTGATTTGAGCAGTTTGCAGGGAAAAAACAAGAATTGGATGGAAAATAAGGTGTGGTTTACGGCTATAACTAAGTTAAAGGGAATAACTTTTCACAGAAATAGCTGGGAAGTATTTCACATTTAATTTAATTTAAAAAAGTATTTTAATTTTGTTTTTACCTATTTTAAGTTGAACTTTGGAGCCTTTTATATTATCAGTTGTAAGTTTAATATTTACCTAACAGCTATCTTACCTATAAAAAACTGTTCTCTTTTCTTTGAAGGCTGTTTGATTTAGCTATTTTTTTGCTGTATAAATAAACGAATAAATGCCATTCCTATCAATGCACTTTCAAATAATACTTTCTCTGTTAGAACAGTTTCGCTCATTTATTATCCTGTTACCCATCCTCACCTGAGAAATTTGACAAGGACACAGAGTATCAAGCCTTTCTCAGTTTGTGCCCCTGGCAACCCATCCCTCTTACTTCCCCTCCACGTTTTACTCTTTTTCCCACCTGCCTTTGCCAGTTCTCAGTTAACAGCTGAAAATCACGCCTCTGGCAATTTTAATCTCGTTTATTAGCCATTTTTCAAGTGATACACATAATTTTCAATTTTCCAATTTCTCACCCAGCACACGAACAATTTCCACCTGCCTTTCCATGGCCCGTGTCCCTGTTTTTTCCCGCTCCTTTTCCCTTCCTTTATCTATTGTCTTTATCGAACATGAAAAAATGCATTGCATATTGCATGCACGTCGAATGAGGGAGAGATGAGTGGAGCAGTTGCAGGGAAAGGACAAACACGACGCCCATTTGGAGGCCATTAGGGCCAGGATAGTCCAGCCGTCCGGGAGCAAAAACAAAGGCCAATAACAATAACAAGGAGCCTAGGCCGAGCGGAGCGTGATGGCGCTAAAATGGCAACCAGGTGGCGAGAAGGCACCAAAAAGCTATGTACTTTAGAGTCTGGTCCCACGACTATTTTGTACTTGGTACCTACAGACTATTTCTATTTTAAAGAATATCTATTAAAGCAATTAATGAGGTGTACTTATATTGATATATCCGAAAATACTTATTTTCCCAACAATATCAATAAACATTTGGCTGTAAAAAAGTTAGATATCTCAATCCTTCCACAAGAAAACTTTTTACATGCTGTAAATTATGTAGGTTCACAAACTCTCTCTTCCCCAACATTCCAACGAATGCAATATGCTTTTAAGTCTAAATTTACGGGGTATTAATATCCCTGGTGAAAAACTAATAAAAGTCAGATCGCAGCGTTCTTATTGCCCTGTGCTCCCTTCATTTTTTTACCTTTAACGTAAGGGTTGCAAAAGGGGGAATGTGAATCGGGAAACAAACTGCTGTGTCTTTATGCAACGACTGCATGCTTCCGTTGTCATCGTTTCCTGTTCCTTTGTCGCTTTTTGTTGATGCTGCTTCCGGAGCCGCTGCTGCATTCCACGCACTCAAAATTTTTCGAATAAACGCAATGTTAATGGAGGAGATCTGCTCCTTCGTCATTCCTTCAGATGCACGATTTCTTTTTTTGAGCCAGCTCCAATCTAGTTTGCAACTCCTCAAAGTTGATGTTTCCTTCGCTGCAAGGGGAACTTTCTTTTCCGACTTTGTTATTAGATTTGCATGCCAGCAGCGATGACGACGATGAGAATTTCCGCCTTACAATTCATGCGGAACATATGGATGTGAGTGCGTACATATGAGCCACGCACGACCCTGCATCCTAACCCTATAGAAAGGTGTTTCTCCGCTCCCTTTCGCTGGAAAATTGTTGCAGCAAGCGTAATTGCATTTACTTTGGAATTTATGTTACGGAAATTTTTTTGTTTTTTATTTCCTTTTCTTTGAATGTGGAGACAGAGGATGGGAGATCAAGGCAGAAAGGCAGGCAGACTCAGGAGAAGTCAAGAGTCAATGGTTGAGCTGAATATCGGATTCAGAATCAATGTACCTTCATTAAAATCGTTTGATTATTAGTTACCATTCAGGAGAATGCCAAGCTATGAAGTTACTAATTGAATTTTAAAACAAAATAGTTAATAAATAATAGAGATTCGCAAAAAGTTCATGGTATAGGTTTCCAATCAAAAAACTTAAAAAGTTGTTTAAAATATTTTGACCTTTAAAAAACTATATCAGAATGTTCAAGATTTTCCCTCAGCAGAATGTATATATTTTTAAAATGTTTGTATACTTTATGTAAAAAGCATTTGAAACCCTTAGCTTTTTTCAAAAATCGACATTTCATGTGTTCTTTTAACTCGCTAACAATCTGCTAAAGTTCTCCTTGTGCCCTTTAGCCCCAGAGGTTCCCCAGTTCACTTCTCTGCTATTTTCTGTTCTTTCTGCAGAACTCGACTGCAACTTCACCTTCACTTGAAAATTGCATTTTTACCAAAATGTTTGCCTGGGAAATGTTCTATGAGAGGTGCCCTGGGAACGGGGGGGCTGGGAGGTGTGAGTGTGTGAGGGGGAAATATGAAAACAAATGGCTCCTGAGTTTCTCTGGCTTTGGCCAAGTAATCGTAAGTTTTGTTTGCTAGGGGATCGCAGTGGGATGGGCTGGGGATGGGATGCGGAGTTTGAATTTATGTGCACTCTGCGCTGTTATTGCTTCTTTTTTTGGGCTTTTGATTTCGGGGTCGTGCTGGATGTAGATACAAGCTCAACGGCTTAGCCCAAAAGTGCAGCAAAAATCATCAAAGAGCTAGCCGCGCAAATCCCATTTCCATTATTATTATTCTTGCAAATCGTTGTCAAATTATATGTATGTTGGCATACCCGATAGTTCTACTTCTATTCTGAATCCAGTTTCACGTCCTCGCCTGTCCGAGCAGTCGCGGAAGTTAAGCCGCTTATCGCTTATCAGCTTTGTCTGCTTTGTGGATAAAAACGGCAGGCGTACACTGAGAAAATAAACTACTAGATTTTTTGAATATGTCCGAAAAGAATCTAGTTTGATATATTCAAATAATTTAGTTTATACAATTGATACCCAAAAACGGAAGATTGATTAAAAAATATATAATCAGATTGAAAATACATCCAAAATAACTAGCATTTAGGCAAACAAAAATGTTTTTCTCAACGTATTTTTATCGATTAGCGATAATTTTACTTCAAAATTTTTTTTAATTATTTGGAATGATCAAAATTAATTTGAATTTCCTTATTTCACATGCCACAATACCAAAATACTAAAGAATGTCCAAAATATTCTTTGTGTACCAGAAGAGCAGTGGAATGACCTACAGGATGGGGTTCAGGAATTGAGGGTCGTGGGGTCGTCGCTGACAGGGAGATAATAATAGTGAAGTGGAATGGATGTGAAACAGGAGCTGCTTGTTCGCTGCAGTGCATAAAAGCCGGGATTGTTCTTATTTTTGGTGGGACGCTGACTTGCTAATCTGAATGCATTGTACGTGGGAAACCTTAATTGATAAGCTGCAGCGCTGCCAAAACCAATTTCGATTGATAACATTTTGTTTAAGCACATAAAAATACAGAGATTATGGATTTTTAAAATTGTATTTTATCAATTAACTCCTAAATCACAAAAATGTTATATTTATATGTATAAAATATTGCATTTTGTGCTTTAAGATTTTTTTCAAAAATACAAAAATTGTATTTTATATGTCTGACATATACAATTTTTGAGTTTTAGGAATTTTCCTATTTCTGCAAAAAAATTTGTTAATGTTGTTCAGTGTTCATTTTTTTATTTTAAGTAATATATGTAACTACCAATATAAATTACAATTATTTTTGTATAATTAACGACCATATGCCAATATGATAACGAAAGCCGAGCTTCTTTTTTTAATCAAAACTCTAATACAAGAAAAGTGTTAAGTCCTGCTGAGAAAAGCAGCTATAAAACATAGAGGAAACTGCAATTTGGCCCGATTGGCGTCAGCAGCGTGATTTGCAATCATTATTTACCCCAACAGCCAGCAGCAAACGCAATTCAATCTGTGACAGCCGCACACAAGGATTCCGACAGTTATCCTGCGGGCGAGGTGGGTGCAGTGAAGGGAGTCCTCGATGGAAATGAACGAATTGATGTACACGCCACGCTGGCCAAATCCGGAGCACCAACAGCAGCATAAGTTGGAGCAGGAGTCGAAGTGCAAAAAAGTGTTAAGTGCTCTCACTGTTTCTTGCAGCAATCATTGTCAGCAAGCAGCCAGAACCGCAATCAGACCGCAAGAACCCGTGGAGGCATACGGGAGAGAGGTGTCGGCACGGACTTTTCCCCTTAAATCTGTCGATTTTTTATGCCTTTTGTCCGGACGACTACAAAACTTAGTAGCCTTTTGATAGATTTCTGGTTTTAGGTACTCGCAAAGACAAATATTTAATTAAATAAATATAATCAGCCTTTTTTCTTAAAATACAATTATGCCGCTAAATATTACAATTTTTCGAGAAAGAAAATTTAAACGTCAATTTTAAATATTCATTTTTAAACTAGCTTTAAAACAATTTTAGTGAGCGAAGAATGAATATTCATGGAATAATAAACATGTTCTTTAGCTTGTTACATATATTTTATAAATACCCATTTACTCAACAGTTAAACACTTAAATGTTGAAACTTACAACAAACAGATTTACTAAAATATTCTTATAAAAACAGTTTAAAATCGAATTATTTTTTCTAACTAAGTTGCCAACACTGTTGCAGAGGGTGCAGGATTTATATGCAGCGGCAAGGTTCAATACACCAAAGTGCAAGGAGCAAAACAAAAAAGAGTTAACACTCTGCTCCTTTTCTTTTTTTGCTTTTTGTGTGTGCTACAGCTCTAAAATCAAATGCAAATGCAAACAACAGTTGGCATCAATCGAAGCTGTCGAGGAACGCCCCGCTGGATTCCTCCCACTCGGGCTCCCATTTTATTGCTGGAATTAATGATGGCAGAGGGTCCGGGACTACTTCTTGGGTCGTGGTTTTGTGTGTTTTATGTGGAATCAAGTGGAAATTCAATTGATTTGCTTTGGCTTTGCATTTGGCTCAGCAGGGGGCGGTGGGCAGGGGGCGTGGCGTGTTATAATAATGAACGGATGACTCTGGCCGGGATATGTGCGGCTTCAAAGGAAATCGCACCCATTCCCGGACAAAAGGCACTTGAGTGAGAAATCATTTTGCGAATATTACAGAACTACATGGGCAGCTCCTTTGCCATTTCTGGAGTTTCTGCTGGTGTCAGCATGTCAAATGCGAGTGCTCTGAAGTTAACTCGGTAGTTTCCTCGCTTTGTCCAATCAATTGCAAAATTTATTTAATTAAAGGCCCGTTGCAGTTGGTGCAGTCAACTGGCAATGATGATTCTTAATGAAGTCGCAGTTGAGCAGGATTATCTCCGTCTTGCATACCCACATTCCTCACCGGCATTTCTTCACTCTTCTCTTGCAGGTCTCCACATGTAACCTTGTCCATTTCCATCCGGAGAAACGTCGATCGCCAAGGAGAAGCCCATAATGGGCGCATTGAAGCCTCTGGCCATTTGGCTTGTCCTGCTCATCGCACACACGCAGGCAGTCAGAGAAAGTAATTAATTTTAAATATTTAATTAACGGATTATTGCTTTTGATATGAATTTAAAGAAGTTGTGGTGGCTAGGCTACCAGGAAAAAGCCTGGATTAAAAATCCTTGAACTGAAAATAATAATTTCAAATGTGAGGTCATTTTCAACCATTAGTTTAAAAACATCCATAATATACAAATTAAATATTCAAGTAGTCCGACAATTATGGTACCATATTTAGTTGTTTTGGATTCAAATTCTTTCAGTGGAGCATACAAAATATGTTGACTACCTAAAAAGGTGAAGCGGGATTTTCACTGTATTTGTTTAATCAGATAAAAGTCATCGCTCCCACCTTTAAGGCTTTAATTTAAAAACCAAAACGCTCTAGACTATTTTTTAGCTCAATTTTAAATAGAGATACATTCATAAAAGACAAATATCATTGAAATATATCCCATATTTTGCAGATCCCCTTAAAGACCCACGCATCTGTGGGCGGCCGCAATGTGATGCGACACATTCGAAGTTCAATTTCGCCGAAAAGCTGTACAAATATGAATATACGGTGGCTGTGCGCACCGAGTTCGTCGGATCCGGCGATAACAGCTCGGACCTGCTGCTCAAGGCAGACTTGGACATATTTTTCCCGAAGCCCTGCGAGGGCTACTTGAGGATCAACAATGCCAAGCTGTTCGATAAACTGGACGAGCCGTCGTCCAGCGACAGCGAGTCCACCACCGAGAAGCCCAGGGATGCGTACGACTACTACGATTTCGCGGCCAGCGGGGAGACCGAGACTGAAAATTTTGATAACCTGCACCCCAAGAGCATGAATCTGCAAGGGGACCTTAGCCAGAACCTGCTGCGTTTTGCCTTCCATGACGGCCTCATCAGCGAGGTGTGTCCCCAGGAGCAGGAGACGCCCTGGGTGCTCAACATCAAGAAGGGCATCCTGTCGGCCTTCCAAAACACCATGATGCGCTTTGACGTCGACTTCAACACAACCGAGACGGATGTGTCTGGCCAATGCCAAGTGCAATATGCCCTGGAGGATACCGACAGCGTTTATGTCAAGATCCGCAAGACGAAGGACATCAACTCCTGCAGGCAGCGCTACGCCACCCACTCGGTGCTGCAGACCACGCCGTACACGTTCCGCGATGACAAGACTATATGGCCCATACTCAAATCCGACAGTCACTGCAACGTGAGTAGAACTTAATACATTAAAACCTTTTACTTGTAGAGTCTGTCTGTACGTTTGAACGTAAAGATCCCGGGAACTTAATCAACCTCACATTTTCCAAATCGAACAATTATTAGGAAATTAAGTTTAAAATAGCCAATGACGTCAGCTCTAGCAAATCTAACGCCAGATGGCGTAACATCTTTTTTGTTAGCCTTGCTAGTGGCGCCATCTGTCGGGGGCATACATGCTTTAAAACTGAATAACAGTGTAACCAATATTTGACGGTTTTGGAACTCGACTATTGCATTTCTTTTTGTTTCGTATCAAATCTAATCCAAACGTTTTATAGGTCACCATTGACAACAATGTCTACCGCGAGATCAGTTGTCTGGAGACACACCTGCTAGTGCCTTTTTCGAACGCCAGCTCTGGTGCCCTGACCACTAGTCGCAGCATCCTGAATCTCAAGGGAGATGAGTCTTACAGCGTTGGCGAGTTCCTGGAGCAGAGTACGTAATTCCCGCATGGATCTGTATACATCTTAACAAGTGTTTCTACTCTGGCGCAGATCCCGAACTGGTTGACCGTCGTGCCACTCTGGTCTTTGACCACACACCCGCAGTAAAGCCCTCGCACGACGAGATTAAGGCTGCCCGGGAGCTTCTGGTGCAGATGTGCGCAGTGGGCTTTCCCAATATTCAGCGCGAGTTCATCGACGTGTTTACCAACTTCCTGCAGACCTCCAAGAGTCTCAACTACAAGACCCTATCTGTGCTGCTCCAGCGGTCGGCCAGTACCTGCGAACAGGGCAGGTGAGTAAACTGAGATTACCAACAAAAGGAAACAATTGCAAGAAACGCTTTAATTCCTGCTCTGCAGAAACCATGTGCTGGAATCCCTGCCTTACATTGGCAGCACCGCCGCTTATAAGGTAATGCGAGATCAGATCGTCAACGGACAGGTGTCGAAGGAGAAGGCCCACAGCTGGATGACCACCCTGTCCTTCATCACACGTCCCGACGAAGAGACCCTGGAGACCTTCCAAACCATCCTCGAGTTCGCAAAGAACAGGCTGGACCCAGAGTACACTCTGGGCGCCACTGCGGTGGTGCACAGCTTTTGCAGACACCACGAGGTCTGCGAGGAGAACCTGCGAGTGCAGCAGATCATCAATCTGTTGGAAACCGAGTTCCTAACTGTGTACAACATATTCAAAGGAGAACGTCGTTTCCGCGAGCGTATGGTGATTTTGCTGAAAGGACTGGGAAACATTGGGGTGCTGTCGCCTCCTTTTGCCGAGCAACTGCAGTGGATTATAAGGGATGACGCAGCATCAGTGGATATGCGCCTGCAAAGTATTCTGGCCTTCCGCCGTGTGGACTGCCCTCGATACCGAAGCTTCTTCTTGGAAAGCTATGCCAACTACACTTTGAATTCGGAGCTGCGTATATACAGTTACCTGCAGGCCATGAGGTGTCCGGATTACATATCCGTGGGGGCCATAAAATCGGTGCTGGAACATGAGGAAATCAACCAGGTGGGCTCCTTTGTGTGGTCGCATCTCACCAACCTGGCCAAATCGAATTCCCCCGTTCGCATCGAGGCCCAGGGTCTGCTGCTAAATGATGAGCTCTCGGAGCGCTTCAAGATGGACTTCCGCAAGTTTTCGAAAAACTACGAGCACAGTTTGTTCTTCGACGAGTATAATTTCGGAACTACCGCGGATGCGAATGTCATCTTTGGCACTGATTCCTATTTGCCACGCATCGCCAGCCTTAACTTCACGGCCGATCTCTTTGGTCAGTCGGTGAACTTCTTTGAGTTCAGTGCACGCGCTGAAGGACTGGAGGAGCTGGCGGCCAATGCCTTTGGACCCAAGGGTCCTTTGAGCGGCGAGCTGTTGCGCAAGAAGCTCTCCTTCCTCAACCGCTGGCTGGGCAACGAAAGTGCCGAGGAAGATGACACCCTCGAGAATCTGCTTAGTCTGGATAATCTGCGACTGAAAAGGAAGGCGCAGCAGTCTACTGATGCGTATGACCTGGAAGATGAGGAATATTACGATTACGAGGAGTCCTTGAGAGGGCCTAAGCGTCATAAACGGGATGCGAGCAGCACTCGCAAGCAGGAAATTGATCGCAACGTGGATAGTCTTGGTTACAAGTTAAAGTACGACTACAATAACCCACGGGCACAGTTTGGTCTTCGGATCTTTGGCAACGATCTGCACTACTACAATGTGGAATCCATGGTGGAGGTGATGGCTTTGGCCGCCACATTCAATCCCTTCCAACAGGCCAAGAATGTGCTTTCCGGCAAGCAGCTCAACTACACGAAGTCGCGAGTCTTTCTGGATGCTTCCTACACAGTGCCCCTGGCAGTCGGACTTCCATTGGCAATCCATGCATTTGGAGCTTCCTCCGTAGATCTTCGCATCAGTGGTAATCTGGATCAAGTGGAACCACCTACCGAATGGCACTTTGATGTCGAAGGCCGGTTTAAGCCCTCGGTGTCTGTGGATGTGATCACCACCATGCAGACAGACATGTTCTGGGGTCAATCGGGCATCAAAGTGAAGAGCAACCTGTACTCCAACTCGGAGCTGGTGGCCAAGCTAAAGGTCCGTGGCCGCAATCTGGTCTCCTTCTCGTTCAATCTTCCCCAGGACCAAAATGAGATCTTCAGTTTCCGATCCGAGTTGCTTGTGCAAAAGCAGGAGGAGGAGCTGCCCCAGGCGGGCATTGTCAAACGGAGTGCGAACTCCACCTGCACTTGGCCTGTTCTCGATCGGGCCATCGGACTTCAGATGTGCTCCCACTACAGTGTCCCGGATCTGAGTAATGCCACCCTTATTTACCCAAGCCTTTTGCTAGCAGGACCACTGAACTTTAGCTTGATCCTTAAGAAATCCGATCTAACTGCTAAGAAGTACATGTTCGAGTACAAATGGGACCAGCAGGATCTGGACAACCAGTTCTCACTGGTGTTCACCACACCAGGTTCAAAGGTTCCGCGAGTTCTGGTTGCGAATGTGACCAAGGTACCCGATGCCTTCAATGCCTCTGTGGCTTTCGTAAATGGAGCGAATAGGGTATCCGCTGGGTGCAGCTATGACGGAAATCCAGACTTCCGACGTTTAGATGTCTACCTTGACACGAATGGAAATAGATCCCTGGACCTGGGCATGGAACTGCGAAGACACCAGGACTTCACCGCCTGGATCTACAATCCTCGAATACTGCTAGCAATTAATGGAGTCAACATTACCGGACTGGCAGGCACCGTAAAAGTAAACGAAAAAAGTGGAATCAAGCAAAACGACGTGGATCTCTCCTTTGAGACCAAAAAGCTCCAGGCTGTGATAAAGGGAAATATTGTTCAAAGCGAGATTACCACTTCCACCAACATGACCATTAAGTACAGAGTGAGTATCTGCTTTTATGTTATTTAATTTAAATTAAAACAATATCATTTTTTTTATTAGTTCCAAGCAAACAAAATTGAGGAGATTAACTTTGCTGGCAAGCTGGTAGATAATGGAGATAAGGGCACGACAGAGTATCGAGGTAACATGAAGCTCCAGACCTCGGCGTATCCCAAGCTGAACTTCGCATCGAATGCAACTTGGCTCAGTCTACAGGGCCATACTGAAGGCATGATCACGTACAATAACGCACCTGATTATGTAAATCCCAACTATACGAGTCTGCTCCGCTTGGTCTTCGCTCGATCCCATTCAGAGGATTCCGTCTGGGAGGGTTCCCGTACGCGGGCCAGTCTGGAACTGAAGCTGCCCAGGTCAAAGATTGATTATCGCATCTTAGTTAAGTGAGTCTTGAAACTGAACTATTTTATTTGTAATCTTAAATCCTTACTAATTATTTAAAAGGCACGAAGAGCGCAGCAAGAACGGAACCGCGCACAATGTAATTGTGGGTCTAAAGTACGCTCCTGAGAAAGAGATTACGGGTCTGTTCTCCGTGCATTTGCCACGAAGGAACATGTTCGCCATTGATGCCTATATGAATGTGACGGTGCCGGAGTTCAACTCTTGTACGGCCAGCCTGAAAGTCAACGAGAAAGCCACTAAGGACTATCTCGTAAGTTTTATTCATTTAATAACAACATACCTCTGTCTATCGACCATTGAATATTTTCATGTTACCCTCTTTTAGATCTTTATCAATGGTTCCTGGTTTACTGGACACTCAATCGCAGTCAAGGCTAACTACAAGGACCGAAGCTCACGAGTGCAGGCTCTTCACCATCTCAAAATGATTGTTGAGAGTCCATCCTTCGAAATAACCTCCCTCAACATTGTGTACCGCCGGAACCAGCTACTGATCTTCTACGATGTGCAGGCCAAGTACGGCAAGGATCCCTATGGCCTTACAATACAATATGCAGCCAATGCCCACAATCGCAACTCCAATGCAGAGGTACGACTGAAGATCAAGGAACGCGACTACTGGATCAATGCCAAATTGTTGTCGGAGCAGCCAAAACTTCTGCAGTTGGAATTTCACATAGACAAGTAAGACTAAATTATCTATCGAGGAATTTGGAATGCTTATGTAATTTAAAATCCTTAGAATACGTGATATACACATCAAAGTTGGCCTGCTCAATGTGGACAGGCGCAAGGAGCTGTCCCTCGAACTGAAGTGGGATGCTAACCGTGATCCTAGCCAGAGATTGGGTCTGCTCGCAGAATACAATTGTCCTGGAACGAAGCACTACGATGGAAATGTGATGGTTACCTATCCGGAGCGTACCATCAACTTTGGTTTCAACACATTCACTGGGGGACCCAAGTACTTCGGCAAGGCTCACGCCTCCTGGAGCATTACCGAGGTGATCGAGTTTGAGTACGAGGCGGGTATCCTTCCTGGTCGGACACTCCACAACTGGGTGAAAGCTGAGCTGCGGACACCCTTCGATGGTTGGCGTACCAACAGTCTTAATGCCGGAGTCTACAACCTACACAACCTGATCCTAATCAACTCCACGCTCTTTTGGGCAGATGATCAAAAGCTGCAGGTCGGCTTTAAGAGCGACTACGACATCAACGATCAGTTGGTGAGCTTTGATGTGCGCTGTGGTATCAACAGTACTATTCGGGATATTCCTACGATCAATGTGAAGGTGATGCATTGGCAGGACCCCAAAAAGGTGGACACGGAGCTCTATCTGGGGTACAGTGGCCAAAACGAGACCTTTAATACATACAGCATGGAGTCCAAATGGGAGATTGAGCGGAACCAGCAATACCACAATGTTTCCGGCTTGGTGCATCTGGTTAGTCCGTTCCAGGGTTACGAGAAAGGTGGTCTGGTGGCCCAGTTTTCGCTGAGCGATAAACGAGAGGTCAGTGGAGCTGCTTCACTCAACTTCGATGTGCGTGAGTTCACTTTGACCATGGACGGCTACGTTAAGAAATTCACGGACAATATGCTAACCATTAACATCACCACTCCTTTGGAGAAATTCCGCACTGTCAACGCTCGCTTTGGTTTAAATGAGAAGAAACGTCATGCGGTCGCTGAAGTACGAGCTCCCACGGCAGCTCTTGGAGTGGAGGCCCTGGCAGACATAAAGAATCTCCTTAACTTCGATGTGAAGTTGAGCTTAGCAACGCCCATCGAGAGTTTCCAACAGGCGGCAATATTTGCACAGTTCGAACCGGAGCGTGTTGACATGCGTGGGTTGTGGAACAACGCCACACTCGGTTTCACGGGCGTGTGGCACATGCAGAATATCACAGACTTCGAGTACTCCTATCTGGTGTTCACTCCTCTGGCTGGCTTTGAGGAGAACGGGTTTATTGTCCAGCTGCTGAAAAGGGACGAGTTCGTCTTCCAGCTGCATGGCAAGCTATCCCAATATAAGCTAGGTGTCAAGATCAACGGGAAACCAAAGTCGGACTTGGTCAATAAGCTGGGCAGCAACAAGATGGAGTTGGAGATGCTCTACGATGCAGACTTTAAGCCCCTGAACGCTCAGACAGACTACAAGCCAGACGAGGATGAGAAGTACTTCTCATATTTCACGGATTTCCAGGTGGACACTTTTGTCTGGCCCACAATTGTGGGTAATGTGGACATTCAGGAGATTATTGACTTCTATCTGGTTGTTGGCCATGTGCAACTGCCACAGGGTAAATTGGAGTTCAAGGATCGCCTGCACTACCCCGACTACATTAATGTACACAATCTTCTGACCGTGACTACACCGTTTGCTGTGGCTAAGGACATTAAATCAATAGTGGAGTACCACATAGACTTACACTTTAACTCCTTCTACGAGCGCGTTAAGTTCACAGTCAATGATGACAAGAACCAGATCAAGGAACTGGGCTTTGAGTTTAACTACACCAAACTGCAGGACAATGTGAAACCCAAGGCGCATGATGTTCAGCTCAAGCTCATCACACCCTACGAATTGCTCCGAGAGATCGACATTCACAGTCGCCTGGAACTGGACGATAATGCCTATAAGGGCAATATTACCGTGGTCACGGCCCACACTCGTCTCTCGATGGCGAGTTCCGTTGAGGTAAGTACTTATAACACAGCCCTCAAGTTTATATTATTCTATTGGCATGTTACATTTCAGAACGAAGACAACTTCCTGGAAACTTCAGTGGGCATTCTGCTGGAAACCGACATTATTCCACACTATGCCTGCCAGGTGTACTTTAAAAAAGACTTTTCTGCAATCGATAACACCATCGACATTCGCTTTGAGGTCACCGACAATGGAACACTGAACCAGGTAAAATCCAAAATGAGTTCATAATTTCAGTTAAATTTAAATTATATTTACCGAACAGCTTCAAATTACGACTGACTGGCATAAAGATCCCTCATACGTAGTGAATGCCAATGGAAAGATCCGTACTACCATGCTGCCACTTCAGCTGGCGTCCACTTCAATTCTGGTCACAAATAATCAAAACCCTCAGCTCAATTTCGATCTAAACTTCCTAAGCCAGGATGGCCAGAGCAAATCATACGGAACGCGAGCAAACAAAAAAAAAGATGTCTTCAACATCGAGGTGTGGACTCCTCTCAAAAACTTCCGAAACATTTCCATGCATGGTACTGCCATTAAAAATCCCCGCGATGCTGAGCGCTATGATGTCTCAGGGTACCTGTACAGGAATATGGCGACATACGGCATCACAGGAGCTGTCCGCATGTCCAAAGGCCTGCCCATTGATGCAACTGTAAGGGTACAGCCCAAAGCTGGTGGAAGGGATGGTGTGATTGAGTTAAACATCCACGAGGCGGGGCCAAATAAGATTGGCTTCTCCTTTAGCGCCATTGAGGATGGTAAGATGTGCCAGATATCAGGAGGATACAGTATCAGCGCGAACAACAAAGCCATGGACTTCTCAGTTCTTGTGGAGAGCACGGAGCCGGAAATCGCCCGCATCAACTTCAACGGCAACCTTAAGCCGAGCTCCAAGGGATCCATTGTGGGAGACCTGAATTTGGAGACTCCCTGGAAGGAGCTCGGCATCGATTCGGTGCAACTGCACTCGGATGTGGGTGTTACCAGTACTGGCGGAAACATAGTGGGCGAGTACAAGATTGGGCAGTATATCGGACGAGGAAGTTGCCTGTGGTCTTGGATCCTGGCCGAGAATATCCAGCTAGTGCTGGAGAGCTACCTAGAGAGACCAAGCGCCAAGCCCAGAATAGTTCACGCCAGTGCCAAATACCTTAACCCAGGACAAAACTTCACTCAGCTGCAGGCCGGTGGTCGTCTGAGCGTCGACTCCAAATGGAACCTCGATGTCAATGGCAGTGTGCACTACAAGTCTGCTAATGATTTCAACTTCAGAGTTATCACCCAGTTGCCGTTACCAGTTGGGGATCGCCACCAGCTAAGTGGTAGCTACCAGGGCAATGTGATTAGCCAGCAGTTCATCAATCCCGACTTTGTGCTCGAGACCAGCTACGAGGGTTTGGAGGCAGAGAACAAGCTACTGTCCCGGATTTCTTTCCGAAATTCAACCAACGACTTGAAGGGCTTGGCCCACGTGGAGTGGGGAAAGCTGAAGAGCCTGTCTATCGTGGAGGGAGATTTTGAGCTCCTCCGGAAGCCAGGAGTCCGTCGAGAGTTCTATGCGAAGATAATCACGCCCAAGTTCAAGGATGAGCACACTTTCACCCTCACCGGACATTACGATGTGAAGAATACGGACTACCACAATGTAGTGTGTGCCTTGGACTATCCAGCCAGTCGTCGAGTTACCGATCTGGATGTGTCCTTCAGTTCGCTTAGCAACATGCACGGAGCATTTAACAGTACAATGCCAACCTTCCTCAATGTCAGTTGGTTCAAGACTGACTTTGAGTTCACCACCAAAAAGTGAGTTTGAATCTATTTGTTATGATACTATTTCTTGCGCTATTTCCATTTGTATATCAATGCTATTTGCATATCAATGGTTTTACTGCTACATAAAATAAATTATTTATGACCAATGTATTTATTTATCCCACAGTGCAAAGAGCTATCGATACTGTCGCTGCTTTTGGCCACAGGATTCGGCTTACTTCAAGTTGAACAGCAACTATGACAGTGACACCACCAATTTCAACTACAACCTCAATGGCAACGTGGAGGTCGAAGTTCCATTGACTAGTCGTCATCGAGCGGATGTTGTTTATGGTCTGCAGAAGCGACGCAACCAGGATTCAGGAAATGTCAAGGTCGTTTACAATGAATTGCAGGTACTGGATGGCAAGTATAAGCGGGTGGAGCAACAAAAGGATCCTATTTACAAGGAGACGACGGACATCTCGCTGGAGAATGACGTGAAGCCCTTGGGTATTCACTATGTCAACACGAAGGACAGCAGCGATCCCGCTGGCACCCAGGACGTGAAGCACTTCGAGGTTTACGAGTTGAGAAACACGCAAAACTTTAATCTCACCGGCGAGTTTCATTCACGGATCACTCTTAACGCCCAGGACTTCAAGGTGGTGGCCATTCATCCCAACCGCGCAGTGGTTCTGAGCACCAAGTTCGAGGACGTCAGCCTCGAAGTTATCAGGCAGCACACCAAGTTGGAATTGTCGGAGACCGCCTGGATAGGATACAACCTGGAGCTGGGCAACTTTAGCCGGGTTGGCAACGAGTCCCAGAGCTTCGCCCTGGAAATCTTCTATCCGAAGCGCAATCTCTCCTCCTCCGGCCAGTACTACATGACGGACAACCACTTCAACTCCGACCTATCCTTCCAGTGGGCGGGCGGCGACTCCGACCTTCAGCCCAAGACGATTCACAGCAACCTGCAGTGGACGGCAGAACCTTTGCGTCGCGGAGATCGCGAACATCGCACTATCGCGTTGACAGTGGCGCATCCTCTTCTGGAGAAGGACATTAACTGCAAGGCCACGTACTACCGCGGCTTGCAGGATCTGCTGAGGACCCACTTGACCATCGACTATTCGTCTAATCCCGATCAACTAATTGAGTTGGGTGCTCAACTAAGGGACAGGTACAGTGAACTGGGCCACACCAACTACACCTTCCAATTGTACGGCAAGCACCAGGCTTCTGAGCTGGACGTCCAACTAAATGGCACACTCGCAGCCAGGAACTCATACTACAAGACGGAGTCCACGGCGCACTACAAGCGTGACATCTTCCCGGCGAGATACGGCAAGTTCCTGGCTCTTCTCGATGTCAATAAACGGGAAGTGGAGTACGAGCGCCAGTCGCCATTCCACACGGTGCGTCTTCACCTGTTGCCAGCCATCCAATACCCCGTTTACGGGTTGAACGCCACAATTTGGGATACTCCTGACACAAACCATACGGGTTACATATACCTGGACCTGTTGGAGCGGTATGCTCGCATGGATTTCAACTTGACGGAGGATGCCAGCCAAAACCTGCAGATGGTGGGTTACATCCCGGATGCACGCAGTGCCTTCCTGGACATCTGGCGCAACTACGAGGAGATCCGCGTGATTGACGTTAGTTCGTACCTGAAGATGAATCATTCCCGACTGGTCACCGGCCGATTCCACTGGCGTCCGGCCATCCGGCAAGAAGTTCGTGAGAAAATCCAAGCCGTGGGAAAGTCGGTCTACAGCTCCTTTTCGGAAGGAATCGACTTTTGGATCAAGTCTATCTACACGGAAACCACGGAATCGATGGGCGTGGTGTGGAACACGGCCAAGGAGTACAATAACGATTTCATAAACGACATTGGTCAGCTGAGCGTTTTGGAGGAGGATCTTGCCGATCTGCGTCTGTTTGTAAATCAGTCCTATGAGGCCAATGATTTCTATATAAAGCACGTGGTTAACTTTACCCTGACTATCCTGGATGAACTTGCCATCAGAGATCACATCGAGTCGCTGCCAAAGATCTTCTCGGAACTCTGGCAGGCGATGGGAGATTCCGGCAAAGCTCTACGCACCAGTATCGTGTGGCTAATCGAAACCATTAAAACCACATATACCAACCTATTGGATGCAGTGGCCCGATTCTTCCACGGTGAGAGTCTAACATATATATCCGGTTTGATGGAGAAGGGCATAGCGAAATACGATAGTTTTATCAAGGATCTGCACATCAAGTTCATCAAATACATCGAAAATCTGTGGCACAAGACCTGGACTATGGCGGAGAATCACTGGAAGGCAGTCCTAAAGCGATTCGAGCCCCATCTCTTCAAAATGATTAGCTTTATAGAGACAACTGCCTGGAATCTCAGCAAGGAGGTGTTCGACTTTATTTACAAACGTACCAACGAGCTGGCAGAGTCTCCGTACTTCAACAAGGTCTCTAGTTTCACGGCTGACGCCGAGAGGCTTTATCGAGACTTCACGGCTAACGATGCCATCACCAACATCAAGAAGTATTCGACGCTGGCCTGGAATTTCATCAAGGAGAAGTACTTTAAGTTGGTGCCATTCGGGGCTGAGTTGAATGAGGTTCTCACTGAGATCTGGCAGGAAATCCAAGAGCTTGAAAAAATTGACCAGGTGCAGATTGTGGTGCAAAAGTACTACGAGGTTGTGGCCAAGGTCGATTGGATTGCGGATGAACTGCAGCTGGAAAATCGCCTGCATCAGGTTTACGGACTGGTGAGGAACAAGTTCCGCAATTATGCCTTGAATGCCTTGGAAACCGCCGATATGTATAGGGAAGCCAAGACCAAGTTTGTTTTCGATCCGGAAGTGGGTATTATCGACCTCGAGCAAAAGTTACCCATGTCATGGCACGCTTTTAACGAGACACCCAAGTTCGAGGAGATTCCCGAGTACCAGGTGCTGGCCAAGGCCCAGAGCTTCTTCAGTGAAACCAACTCTTCGATCGTCATGAAGTTGTATAACATGCGGACGCATCTGGATCCCAAGACCTGGCTGCCACCATACTACTGTATGTCGATGTAATGTAAGATATTACGGAATTTATTTAAATTAATTTTGTATATTTTAGCTCGCGCCTTGCTGATCGACTCGCGGCACTATATGACCTTTGACCAGCGGTATGTGGGTCTGAACATCAACTTTGATGAGTTCGGAAATGGACGACCCAATTCCCAATGCAGCTATCTTCTAGCCCACGATTTCTTTAAGCGAAACTTTACCTTACTTCTGGAGCCAGCGGTAGGTATTCAAATAAATATATTGTGTTCTTAATTAAAGCCCTAATTTTTAGAGCCAATCCCTGGCTGGCCAAGGACTAACACGCAAACTGAGCTTTATTGCCAATGACCAACTGATTGAAATCGATTTGGGCACAGATGTGAGTCAAGTCACTAACAGTGATCCTATAGGTACTCATCTTTTGAATTTCTATCCAGCACATAAGCATCAATGGCAATCCGCAACCCATCCTGCCGCTCAAATTGGGCGCTGTGAACATCCACCGGGATCTTGATGTACTTTCCATCACCTCGGACACCGAGTTTAGTCTGCACTGCAACGTGCAATTTGACCTGTGTTGGTTCGAGGTTAGTGGATGGTACTTTGCCAGGACAGCGGGATTACTGGGCACCCTGAACAACGAGCCCTCCGATGAGTACACCATGGCCAACAGTGTGATCGCCAAGGAGGCGCAGCAGTTCACGGATTCGTGGAGCCTGAAGCAATGCAAGCAGACGAAGGTGGCCCAGACCCAAGAAATCAGCAAGGAGGTCAGTGATACCTGCACTAGCTTCTTCCGTACCGGCATCCTGGCTCCCTGCAGTGCGGTTCTCGATCCCGCTCCCTTCTACGATATGTGTCTGGACTTGGGCATGAAATCGCCGCCAATTCGAAAGGGACATCCGGCTGTCAAGGGAGCCTGTGCAGCAGCTTTGGCTTACATCGAGGCCTGTACAGCTCTGAAGGTTCCCATGCGGGTGCCCTCTCAGTGTGTGTTGTAAGTGTTCATTATTGTTCATTATTGAAAAAGCCACTAATTATTAACAAATTTAAGCTGCCAACTGACGAACGGTTCATATGTGCCCGAGGGTACTTTCATGGAGCTTTCAGGCAGTGAGATTCCACGCAGTAGCGACGTGGTCTTCATTGTGGAGGCCAAGGATTGCAATGCCAATCTGAAGGTGTCCAAGAACATCATGGCCGTGGTCACCAGCATTGAAGAGCAGTTGCAGGCCGCCAAGCTAACGAATAATCGGTTAGTACTCCCAATAATAGTATTAAACCATATCCCCTGACCATTTCTAAATTTAAAAAACCCCAGTTATGCTGTGTTGGCCTTCGGTGGAGTTGCCCCGTACGACAAGCCGAGGAGCGTTATATACGAACACAACGAATTCACCTTCAAGCCGGATCAGCTGGCGGAATATTTCGGCCACATCAACACCGGAAATGGCAGCAGCAACGACATCCTAATGGCCATTTCCGCCGCTGCCAAGCTCAACTTCCGTCCGGGCGTGTCGAAGACCTTCGTCCTGCTCTCCTGCAGCAAATGTGCACCCAAGGATATGCGCTTCGACCACACCTCTATCCTGCAATACATGTTGGAGGAGGGCATCAACCTGCACGTCCTGGCGGATACGGAATTCGACTTTGAGCGCAATAAAAAGCTGCGACACTTCTTCGGGCTAGACAGTAAGCTGGTTTACTCGAAACGTTACCCCGAAGGCGATGCCGAGACCCGCAATACCACGCACATCCCCAAGAGCAATTTGGGAATCTGCACCACGCTAGCTGTGGAGACTCAGGGATCCGTGTTCAGTGCCCGCAAGCTGCAGCCGGAGAGGAAGTATCCCATCAAGCGATTTGCCACCATTTTCGCCAAGCGCATCGCCCTCAGTGCCACGCCCATCCAGAGCCAGACCTGCGAGTGCTCCGCCCACAATACGGGCGTCTCCTACATGGCCTGCTCCCCGCAGGCTCTGCCCGAGGAGAAGTACGATCTGGATGACTATGTGAGTATATAACGAATGCCAGAATATGGTAAATAGTTACGGAAATTAGAGATCATTTAAAAAGATTTAATCGAAAAGAAAATCATTTTATTTCGATCTCATTAATAACAGAAGATGGTTTCAAATGATTCAATTTTAAATTAAAATAATTCTGATTTCGACTTTAAGTCTACTCAGAACCATCAGATTTTGATTCCACAAAACTGAACTAAGATTACAAAATTATGCCAATAGAAGTTTTATTAACTTTTGTTTTAATTATAATAAATAAATACTGTCTGAAATTAATGATAACTGAAAACTATTTAACCTGAAAGTGAAACATTCGATATCGACTTGCAATGCTTTAATTTCATATCTAATTAACTATGTTTTCGACTCAATGGTTTCCGCGATTTTACCCAAATTTCGATTTTGATTCTGTAAAAGTCAACATTATCTTATCTATAATTCCATTATTTATAATTGCTATACCAATAATTTAATTGCATAATACCTATTGATTATGTAAAATTTTTTGTTTCAGGACTCCTTCAACAACTGGGATTGGGAAGACGAAGTGGAGGGCGATGCCAAAGTAATGTCGTAGTTCTTAGTACGCCGCCATTAGTTAGCTAGTTCAGTTATGTCCCTGCAGAATGTAAGGTTTTTCTAATGCATAACCGACAGGCATATTTTGTAAAAATAAATCACCATATAAAGCCAAAGTGGAGTCGAATTTTGTGTCATGATTTCCAATCTATAGCTGGCCCAAGTTAACGAGCGACACGCCCGACAAGTTTTTGCTTCCTATTCATTGTCTGCTCCAATCTCGGTCGCTGATTAAAAGTTGCCCGACCGCCTGCAGCAGCAGCAGCAGCAATAGTTGCATGTTGCATGTTGCAAGTTGCTGGCTGCGGTGGACCACTTGGGTGACTATCACTTTTGCAGCTGCAACGGCCATGGCCACGGTTGACGGAAGCGACTGCAGAACTCAAGTACGTGTAACAACCTTAACCCTAAAGCGAGCCGCGATGGAATGGACCATGTCCGCTCACTCGGACCACTTGATACCCAGTTGAACCCAATTTGTTGATATAACATTTCCCTGGAAAAGCGCACAATGGAAATTATGCGAGCCGAGTGGTAAGGCAATACTTTCTATTTCAATGCTATGGTTACATCAACCGGCCGTCCTAGGCCCAATTGCGAATCTTTCACTTTTGGGCGCGCTATAAAAACCAGCGGACAGATGGCAACCGTTCGCATTGCTTAAAAGAGATCCGGCCAGGTAGCCACGGCCATTAACAAGATGTGGATATTCGTAAGTCGGGAAAGGGTAATCTCCGAGCCCCCATTCAACTCCGGATTCCATCCTTAGCTAGTGATTTGCAGTATTCAGCTGATTTGCGCCTCGGAGCACAGTGGCGAAGGATATGGCGAAACTTACGGCTACGGCGGAAGCGGGGGAGGTGGCAGTGGAGGAGGAGGGAGTGGCGGAGGAGGCGATGGCCATTACCATCACCACCACACACCCACCACCTATTCGGAGATCTCCAAGCACGTGCCCGTGCACGTGATCGAGAAGGTGCCGCTGCCCATTCCCCATCCGGTGGCCGTGCAGGTGCCCAACGTGATCCGGCTGCAGATCCCCGAGCCGTACGCCGTCCACGTTCCCGTCCAGCAGGAGATCCAAGTGCCGGTCTACAAAATAGTGCCCGAGATAACCGAAAGGAAGATCCCCTACACCGTGGAAAAGCCATACCCCGTGGAGGTGGAGAAACCATATCCCGTCGAGGTAATCAAGCAGATCAAGATTCCGGTGCCGAAGCCCTACCCTGTTCCTATTACCATCTACAAGCACGTCCTGCAGAAGGAGCACGGCTGGTGATGGCGGTAGTCGTTGGTTTTTAGTCTCTAAGTATTAGGATGCCAGCTCTAAATCCCAGAGTATTATCTTACTATGTTAATGAGTAATAAAATACTGAGCTTAAGATAAAACGTGGACTTTTTATTTGACATTTTTATAGTAAGATCTAATTGGATCCTTACAATTTTCTGGAATTCCTGCAATACAACAATTAAATAGACATTTGTTGGCTATTTTTCCCCAAAAGTAGAGTCTTTTAATACATAGGTAACATCTTTTAATACATAGGTAAACATCAAGTTGAGTGATTTGACCGTTTTCCAGTTCTGAGCACTATTGACGGTCGCAAAAAGTTGATAATTGCTTATAAACTAAAACGTAAAAAAATATGTGTCGAAATATAAATATTTTGGAGTTCAAAGTTCCGTTACTGCGCATTTAATCTTAACTTAAATCTAAATATGATAGAGCTAAATAGAACTAAACATTAAGCTTTTATCTATTTGTGTTAGGACAATGGTTTCCTTCTTGGCTGAGTTCTTTCACTGAGCTTTAAATGTTCTTGAAGAGAAAGTGAAAGTAGGTGACAAGGTGAATGTCAGTTACATGTAGACTCTACATTTTCGAATGGGAAAAAGCTTTGCCAACTTCTCATGCCAAAGCTGAATTCCGAAACACTTCAGATGAAAGCTTTTTGTTAGCAGTCCTTCTTTATAATGGCGGCAAAGTGCGTATACACACTCTTACCAACACACTCGCACAACTGACATACCTCGCAGGTTCGTTAAACTTTTGCGAATTGATTGACGCGGTGTGGGAAAGTGTGGGGCAGGTTTTCCTCAAACCGATGACGTGCGCACACTCCACAACCACCCAACCACCTTTCGCACCTGGTCAGGTGTTGCTGGGCTTTATATCCTGTATGTCCTTGAAGGAGACAAACACTGGACGTGGGGGGAATTTTCCGCGATTGTCAATGATTTCCATTTGTTGCACGCAGTCCCAGCAGAGTCATTCCCACCCGTAATTCTTGTCAGTCCGTCCGGCAGGCAGTCAGTGAGTCAGTCAGTCAATCAAACGCAGCTGCCGCAAATTATTTATGCACAACTTGTAGCTCCACACGCACACGCCTGGTGAGCAAAATGTATCCAAAGGATGTGGCTATGCGACTCCCATCTATCCCATATACCCGTATGGATGTGTGAGCACAATGTGTTTGCCTACGTGTCGGGAACTTTAATTTCATTCACATTCACAACCACAAACACAGAGACGCACGGAATAGTTTATCCATTTGTTTTTCAAATCTTATCTTTCCTTCCAGTTTTAGACAACTTGCTAGGTTTTGTCTTAGCGGAAGCAGAGTAAATGAAAAGTAATGGAAATTGCTAGAATGCTTGCATACATTACTCTAGGAAAAATCAGCAAAACTTTTTCGTAATTAAATTCTGCCACTCCCGGGAAACCTTTGTTCGTTTTCATTTTCCGAAGGATCAGGTTCAGGTGGGGGTGGCATTTAATTAATTATGACAATATTCCCAATGATTGTCTGTGGCTTTGGCTGGTCGGATAACCTTTTATTTTTACCAGCACCAAATGGTCCAAATGCAATTGCTGATTTATCCTCTCTGCTTTCCTGTACGGTGTCATTACGCTCATTCATCAATTCATTTGGAAATTTTGGTGATTGCACTGGCCGATGAAACGATAATTAACAGATCCAGCGTTTGTGCTGTTGTGGTTGTGAATGACCATTTGGCCAGGACACCAAATGTGCATATCGCAGTTGACAAGGCTCGGGTTTTAGGTAATTACTGTTTACATATCCTTTGATGGGTTCATTCGCCGCCGTAAAACAATCACATTTGGGCAACAGTTTCTTTCGCAGGTAAATTTTCCGTAGTTAGGACAGCAATTCCATTGATTAAAATGGATCATCATTTATGATGCAATAACCGTAAATCACTTGAAATAATAAATGTAGGTGCTTGCTAAACTTGCACTGAATAATCACCATCATTCAAATTTAAATTATTACTATAGCTGGGACTTATTTTATTTATAAAGTCTTATTTAAATTTAGTTTAAATCGAATTCTAAATTATTACATATCTATATAGGTAAAAAACTTTCATCCCAGTGAAGCTTACTTAGTTTCTTTCTACAATATGTGATGAAAATCCGTAGCATGTGATGAAATTGTATCTTAATAATTACTGTGCCATAGCCCTTAAAAGCCCATTACTTGGCTGCGTTTGATGTCACAATGGGCGGGCACAATGGGCCCCCCCCACGATTACCACTTTCTTAGGCCACATGTGGCAATTGAATCTATCTGGCCTAAGCCCCAGCATAATATGCGAAAGCCAAGCCTCAATTCCGGCTCCCCTGTCTATCCAATCGATTGGAGCATAAAATGCAAATTAAATTGTCGGAACATTTGGTATTACAGCAGCCAAAGCTCTCAGCCAATGAGCTTAGCCAAAGTCTGGCAAACAAATTTACAATGCTAAGCTCATGTGAGGGCTGGCGAAGTGAGGTGAGATGAGGGGATACATACAGATGTATGTATGGAATTCGGGGCCCGGCTGAAAGGGGAAACTTTTGGATTCGTGGAATTAATTTAAGTTAATTGATTTTTCTGCCAGAAGCTTTGCACGTGCAAGACTTTTCCGCACTCAGACAGACAGGCAGGCAATCGAAGAGGAAATGGAAATGGAAACTGGGGAGGGAGCGGGGGTGAAAAGGACGAGGTCGGAAATTGACAACTGCCTCGAGTGTTGAGTTGTAAGGGAAATACATTTCCATGGGTCCATTCACATTATCGCCCAGTTTTCCATTGAGACATCATATGTGTCGTCCCGCTTGACAGGTAGACATGGCCCCCAATAGAATTCTAGGAGTGCCTCATTTCCCATTTTCCAGCTGCCACATCTGGGATAAAAATAGCCCGATATGGCCTGCGTTCGATGGCTTAAACCAGCGGCTAGGGCATTACTAACGCCGAATTAGTCAATTGCCCAACGATTCGAGTTGCCTTCACATTGTTATTTTTAAGCATTTCAAAGGCTGCACTCGCAGAAAAACAGAGCCGACTGCTTTCCCTGGAACCGACCGCTCCTCTTCCTGTCTAATGAGGTGTAAAGTGGTGTGAATGCATGAAGTCCTTTGATGGGGCGGTATGGGATGGCACTGTGCAAAATCCCTGTGGCAGAATTATTGATTGGCGGCTAAACATGTGTGTCTTTGGCATTGTATCAGTCCGAGCACAGTCACTTGTCCCTGTTCTCAATCCCAAATTAGTCTTTGTTGGTAATGAGTTTATGTTATAAATAGTTGCTAAACACCTTGTAAAGCGAATCTTTCAAGTCTGTGTAACATGTTCTTTTATTTTTAATCAAAAATAAGCACTATTTGATATACCATTTCCTTAGGCGCTAAAAATAACATTTACTGTAGGCACTTCCACGGCACATTAAAAATTGTATAAAAATATGAATCAATGGCGAATCACAAAGCCAAAGCCAATTTCTCTTCCTTTTTCCTGGATAAAGCCCCTGCAGTAAGTAAAATTGAATGGTGAAGAGGGGCCGCACTAAAGTCATAAAAGTCGCGTGGACCAAATTAGGAGGAATTCTCTGCTGTTTGTGGAGGAGAGCGAGGGGAAGGAATGCTCCTGACTCCTCCTGCCCTCTCCTCATACTTTATGTGCACAACAATTTTAAATGACTTTGAGGAGGCGACCCAGGACACACTCGCACACACAGACAAACACACTCGCACACAAACACACAGGAGCAGCAGCCGAAAGTAACAGATAAGATTAGACGCCCAAGCCAGTGACAACAGGCGTCGTCAAGATGGCGCTCCACGCCCACATTGCGTATGCGCGCTCATCCACACTGAGAGAAAAATGTATCTTCAAGAAGTACAATAAACATAGCCAGCCGAATACAGAAATAGCAATCTGTGTTCCGGTTATGTCACAATACACTTTGCCAAAAAAAAACTTATTTAACCATTAAAAACATTTTTAAGCTAGGTAAGTTGTTATTGAAATACCTTTTTGATTTGATATGAAATTAAATATTTCTTTCCGGGACCCCTTTAAAAATGTATGGATTATTTTTGTATTTTCTTAGAGAGGGCATTAATTTTGTTAAATTGTACTTTAAAAATAATGTTTTAATTCTTTAATACTTAAAAAAAATTTTTTTTTCTAATAAATTTAACCTCAAAACATATTTAAGGCTTTAGACAACTATTGTTGGGAATATTGAACTTATTTTTCTCAGTGTCACCCGTAAGCGAGTCAAGGTTAAGCTCCAAAATCGCTCGAAACGAAACGAACCTCAGCCATCAAAGGCAGCAATGCCTTTTCCTTATTTTCTTTTTTGCTTCTTTTTCCTTCTTCCTTTGCTCCTTCGAATTTTTTTTGTAGCCGTTTTTGTTTTGTTTCGGATGCTGCGCGTGGCAGGGAAAACAGCTGGCTGGCTCGTAATGATTACGAGACTTTTATGGCAGGACGAACGCAGCACACAAAGCCCAAAAAGGGTCCCAAAGATGGCGAAAGAGGCAGCCTTCTGTACCTGGAATACGCCCACTTTTTTCGCCACCCCGCACTCTATCATTCGCACATCGTTGGCCAAAGTTCGGAAGCGTTTATTGGAAAGCCCCCTCCCAGATGGAGATGGAATAAAGTTAAGCGATTATGAGCGCCGCCTAGAAGTAGGCAACTTTTTCTTCTTCCGACGGCAGAAAAATAAGGTTGGGCATCTTAGAATAAATATACACCATAAAAAGTAATGTAGAAAATGTTAAATAAAACGCTTTAGATTCAGGTTCAAATTCTGAATTCCAGTAAAATCAAATCGCTTGCGGCTCAGGTGAAAGAAATTTAATGTGGTGAAGGTTTGTGGGTTGCAAGTGGATAGTCCACTTCCTTCGCCCTCAATGTTTCGTGCAAGATTTATGGCCGTAGCTCGTGCTTATGGTGTCGCAAAAGGTTTGTTTTCGTATACCATTCTATTTCACATTTTGTCCCCGTAAATCTGGCGCCACCTTGCTGTCCTGTCTATTACCGA